AGTTTGCTAAATGAAGTGTTCAACATACACAAGAAACAGTTTGCATGTTTCTGCTGTTCTCTCCTTTAGGGAAACCTTGGCAATGACTATTAAGGGGGACATGGCACCTCTAGGAGATAAATAGCCAGAGCTTCTTTCAGACATTTGCTGACAGGGTACATAACTCTGAGAGTAGTTGTCCAGAGTAAGCTAAGGTGGCCCCATGATCTTTTAAAGCAAAATCTGCATGTTGATTTACTGAAGCTTTTTATCAACTCATGATTAATTATGATGCTGTTCTGAAGCTTATCTAAGAATGACCAATGTCTTTAATCTAAAGTACTTAAAATACAATTAATCTTTATACAATTAATCTTTATGACAATATATACCTATATAACAATATAATCTTTATACAGCTGTGACTGGAAAGCAGTTTTTCTCACTGCAAAGCTTTTGCTTGTTTCATTAATAATTCCCATTCTGTCCTCAGCTGTACTTCTGTGTACATATCACTTGCTAGTCTACTGACCGTAGCTGTTGCCTGAGTGTGGGTCCATAACACAATTCAGAACAAAATTCTGTAAAACAGTGTCAGCATAGCTAAACTCTTCACTCTTCTGTTTTAAATTTAGCTCATGGAGTGTAAAGTGATACAGCTTTTCTGGTTGTCAGTCAGTAGTACTTGTGAGGGCCTGAATCTGAAGATCACAGGGGAAGAGTTGCAATGAGGGGGCATAAGATAGGGAAAGTGATATATACATGTATATACTCCACTCCCTTCCCACTAGGTGATGGGGTCCATCTTTACATCCCTAGAATTAACCCAACAGAATATAGAGGTGTGACTCAGTTGTCACATTCATAATATGGAATATTATGTAAACTTTAAAATGTTATAAAAATGACAGAGAGAGGTTTCTTTTTTTTGCTCCTCAGAGTAGCAAAGACTGATAATATTGATGTGTTGGCAAGTATATGAAGAAATAGACATTCATGCTCCATGGGTTGAGTGGATATATTTTAGAAGTCAGTTGGCCAGTATATGTCAAAATTTGTAAATATCCATGAGAAGAAATGCAGCCCCTGACATCTAGGAGCTGGCCTGACACTCAGAGCCAGGCCCTGGTATTCTCTTGTTGAATATAAACAACTTCATAGAACATTAATATCAGATAAAGTCACTCTATGACTGTGATATATCAAGAGAAAAACAAGACCACTATGTAATCATGTATGAACACTGGGAGACATTGTCCAGATCACAAAAATAACCAAATATCCCCTTATTCTGGCTAATATGAGTGACTTCTGCTTCTTTACCTATCACAACTGTAGCCCTGGCCTAGTCTTCCCCATTTGTAAAGTAAGATTTTTTTAGATAGCAAATCATGCTTCAAGTACTCATGCTTCCAAACAACTTTCAATCTACAGCAAAGCCTCACTTCCTTAAACCCTCCCCTAAATCACCTAACCAAAGTCCTAATCCTATAATAAGTCATTTCTAAAACCCTCTTCTTGAAGTACCACATGATTTGCCATGGTACATGTTCTTTCTCTTTGCAACCAAACTTGTTCAAATACAGACATATTCCTGGTGGTTTTTGGCTGGAGGGCACTGCCATTCATGATTTTTGACAAAGAAGTTCCACTTCAAGGAATTTATCATACAGAAATATTCAAACAGGTATGAAGATATAAACAGGGATACATCCATTTTCACAGGAAAAAATGTAAATATGAAAGAATATAGTAAAAAGTTATGTTGCAAAACTACAAAATGCTGCTGAGAGAAATCAAAGGAGACCTAAATAAGCAGAGAGAGATATTTTGTTCATGGGTCAGAAGATTCAACACTGTTAAGATGTTATTTCTCCTTAATTAATCTACTGATTTAGAACTATCTCAATCAAAATCCCAGCTGGAGTTTTTGTAGAAATGGATCAGCAGATTCTAAAATTTATATGGAAAAACAAAAGTAAAAATAACCAAAATAACTTTGAAAAATGATAAAGTTAAATGACTCACACTGCCTGATTTCAAGAAATTATAAAGCTACAGTAATCAAGACAGCGTGGCATTGCAATCAAGATACACAAGTACATCAATGGAACAGAAAGAGTCTAGAAACAGATCCATACATACAGGGACAACTGATTTTTTGACAAAGATGCAACAAAGACAACTCAAGGGAGAAAGAAGTCTTTTAAGCAAGTGATGCTGCAATAATTGGATATCACTATGCCAAAAAATGAACTTTAACTTATAACTTGGACAATATACAAAATCTCAAAATGGATCAGACCTAAATGTGACACCTAAAACTGTAAAATTTTTAGAATATAGTATAAAATCTTTGTGACCTTGGTTAGGCAATGGTTTCTCAAAAAAACAGCAAAATACAACTGGTAAAGAACTGTTCCTTATCAAAATTTAAAACTTCTATTCTTCAAAAGTCATTTTTAAGATTAAAAAACAATCCATAGACTGGGAGAAACTATTTGTAAAACATATATCTGATAATAGACTTGTATCCAGTATATATAATAACAACTCTTACAAATCAACAATAAAAATGAACCCAGTTTAAAAAAAAAAGGGCAAAACATTTACATAAACTTCACCCAAAATATATGGATGGCAAATATGCATATGAAAAGATAGTCAACATCATTCGTCATTAGAGAAAAGCAAATTAGAACTACAATGAGAAAGAAAACACAGGCAGTAAAGTCTTGGGTATCAGTCTGAGCAATATTTTTTTGGATCTATCTCCTCAAGCAAGGAAAGCGAAAATAAACTAATGGAACTACATCAAACAAAAGCTTTTGCACAGCAAAGGAAACCATCGACAAAATGAAAAGGCAACCTACTGAATGAGAAAAGATGTCTCAAATGAGAAAACTGATAAGTGGTTAAATCCTATATATATACACAGTCATACAACTCAATATATATAAAAAAAAAACACGATCCAATTAAAAAATAGGCAGAGGACCTGAATAGACATTTCTCCAAAGACATACAGATGGCCAACATGAAAAGTTGCTCAACATTACTGATCATTGGGGAAATGCAAATCAAAACCACAGCATCAGTTTACACCTTGCAGAATGGTTAGTATCAATAAGAAATACCACATATTGATGAGGATGTGGAGAAAAGGGAACCTTGTTGCACTGTTGGTGAGAATGCAAAATGGTGCAGCCACTATGGAAAACAGTATGGATATTCCTCAAAAAACTGCAAATAGAATTATCATTCAATCCAGCAATTCCACTGCTGGGTGTTCATCTGAGGAAAATGACAACACTAACTCAAAAAGATATTTGCACTTCTATGTTCATTGCAGCATTATTTACAATAGCCATGATATGAAAGCAACCTAAGTGTCCATTAATAGATGAATAAAGATGTGGTACATATACAATGGATTATTTTACTCAGTCATACAAAAGAATGAAATCTTGCCAATCATGACATGGATGGACCTAGAGGGTATTTTGTCAAGTGAAATAGGTCAGACAGAAAAAGTAAAATATTATATAGTTTTACTTATATGTGAAACCTAAAAAGCAAATGAACAAACAAAACAGAAACAGACTCATAGATACAGAGGATAATCTGGTGGTTGCCAGAGGGGAGGGTATAGGAAGGGAATTGGCAAAATAGGGGAAGGGGGTTAAGTGGTACAAACTTACCGTTATAAAATAAGACACAAGGATACAATGCACAGCATAGAGAATATAGTTAATAATATGCAACAGCTTTATATGGTGACTGATGGTAGCTAGACTTATCATGATCATTTTGTAACATATATAAATGTTGAATCACTGTTATACACCTAAAACTAATATATCATTGTATGTCAACTATACTTAAATTCAAGAAAAAAGAACTACAATGAGATATAGCTAAAATTAAAAAGACCAACCATACAAAGTGTTAAAAAGCATGTGGAGAAATCAGAATTCTCACACACTGCTGCAGGAATGTAAAACAGTACAACCACTTTGGAAAATGTAAGTTAAATGTATACCTACCATATGATCTAGCCATTCCACTCCTAGGTATTTACCCAAGAGAAAAGCAAAGCACATGTCCACAGAAACAGTTGTATACAAATGCTCATAGCAGCTTTATTTGTAATAGCCCAAATCTGGCAACAACCCAAATCTCCATCAACAGGTAAATGGATAATCTGTGATATTACCATATAGACTACTTGGAAATAAAAAAGCAATGAACTATTGAAACACATAACATGGATGGGTCTCAAATACTTACGCTGAGTAAAGAAGCCACACACCCCTGACCACTCCCCCAAATACATGCTGTATGGTTCCATTTATATAAAATTTCAGAAAATGAAAACAATTCTGTATTGTCAAAAAACAGATTAGTGGTTGCTTGGAGGCAGGGAGACATAGGGAAATGTGGGAGGGATTAAAAGGGGCATGAAGAAACTCTGGGGGTGGTGATGGATATGTTATGGATATGTTCAATATCTCAACTGTGGTGATAGTTTCACATATGTATACATATGTCAAAATGTATTAAATTATATACTTAAAAAAATTTTTTTTTTAATTTAGAGAGAGAGAGAAGCAGGGAGGGACAGAGAGAGGAGAATCTTAAGCAGGCCCCATGCTCAGTGCAGAGTCCGATGCTGGGCTCGATCTCACCAATCCCGAGATCATGACCTGAGCTGAAATCAAGAGCCAGACGCTTAACTCAATGAGCCACCCCGGTGCCCCCAAATTGTATACTTTAAATATGTATGGATTAATGTATGTCAATTGTACCTCAATAAAGCTATTAAATAAAAATCTCGTGTTAGATCTACATAATACTAAATTGGAAAGATAATTATAAAGATGAGGCAAGTTGCAGAATACTATACTCTTGTTTTTCCAAAAGAATAAATGTGTGCATATTTTTAAGAGGCATATGCAATGAAACATTAGGGCACTATGCGCTAATTGTTAACACAGAAAAAACATTAAGTGATTCAAAAATATGTTATAGAAGCACATTTATTGATATGGAAAGATGCTCACAATACACAGTGGGGAAAAAAGCAAGTTACAAACAGTATTTACAGTATGATCTTGTTTTAGTTTCTTAGCTATTGAGAAATCTCAAAGCATATAACCTAATATTTTCACACACACAGACATTCTCTTCATTTTACACCAGTGGTTATAATTCCTACCATGAATTATCTGATGAAGGCAGAATAAGGGAAAAACAGTAATTCCTCTTACATTAAACAGCCTATAGCAACTCCTGCCTTTACATGTTGAGTGCACATTCAGCAATGAATGTGTGTATGTATGGATATATGTGAGTGCTGTTGGTTATCTTTTTGTGGGCATATGCTTTATTTCTGCAACTAGATAACAAATTCAATGATATCTTCTTTTTTTTTGCCATTTGAAGCCACAAATAGATCTAAGCAAATACTAACGAATAAGTTTAGCCTACTTAAGATGAACTGGTTCACTATCTTAAGTAAAATGTTAAAAAGTTGCCCATCTACACAAGATAAAAATCAACAGATGTTTTCAGCTTACAGTGCAATATTCATTTGATATCTCAAAAATGGTCTAGCTCAAACCTAGAGACTGTCGCAGGTAATGTCACATTACAGATGTGATTTATAATGTGTACACTGTAATAATCAAAATATTATGCAAGGCTCTTTAGGAATACACAGCCTATTAGATTGTTCAAAGTGTTCACTTTTATTTCTGGCTCATTTTACATTGTTTCAATAATTACTTTAACTTCACGGAAAATGGCCATCAGTGTATTGTAACTCAAGTGATCAACAACTACAACTGAACCCTTTCTGATATGCTCCTTTATGTTAATAAATATGGCCACAGCACTAACGAGATTGGCTTTTGCCTCTTTCTGGTTAAAGATGAGTTTTAATGCTGCTAAGGCCTTTGTATTGATCATGTCTCTGGCTGCAGCTGGATTTTCAGACATATTCAAAAGTACTTTTAAAACAAGATTTCTGGTTTTACGATTTCCCAGGGATAGCAAGTGGAAAAGCTCTGAAAAGTAACTGGCAACAATGTGGTGATGGTTAGAATCAGCAGTCAGTTGCCCTAGTATCTTCAATCCAGATTGCTGTCCGGGTGAGTTCAAGGGGAAAGACATGGTTTCCTTACACATATGCTTAACATGTAATTCAATCTTGCGTTGTCTCTCATCCCCAGAAGGAGGATTCAGAGTAATTACGGCCTTTTTTCTGATTTCAGAGGAAGGAAAACTGAGCAAGCTTTCAATAAGCGTCACTACACCCACCTCATTAATAAACTCTTGGGCAAAGGGATGAACATTAGTGATCCCCATTGCAATTTGAGCTATTTTATGAATGAGAGGATCAGTAGTTGACTTAAGTAAGGTAACAAGTTTTTCAAATTCCTCAGAATCCATGTAGCATTCCACTTTGCAAGGGCAAGCAAATGGCTTAATCCCATTCACTTCCCTGATCCTGATTTGGCGTCTAATCTCCTCTATAGTCTGGATGCAAGGGTCAGAACCAAATGGGTACTCAGGGACAGGCTGTGAGCATGAAGTAGTGCTCCTAGAAGGGCATGTTGTTGCCACAGGCAAAGAATGGGTATTTTCCTCAGCTGAGGCCAGGACAATATATGAAGGAGGCTTTGTCTCAAATGGGACTTGGGATCTAAATCCTAACACTGCTGGAGTTACAGCAGGGGCTTTGGGCCAGATAGTTACCTCAGACCAGTCCTTGGGCCTATTTTTTTCATTAATTTCATCCACAGGCTGGGGCCTAACTATCCTACTCACAGGTCTAGGATTAGGATCAAAACTAGCTTCATCTCCATCCCAAAACCAGTTCCCAATAACATTTTCCTCCTCCTCCTCCTCAGTCCCTGGCCTAGCTCTGCAGCTGGCCCCAGCCACAGGCTCTAACTTTTCAGCACAGGATGGGGGACCAATACCAGCTTTACCTTCATCCTTAGCACTGGAACGATTACTAGCCTCTTCTCCATTCCAAAACCAGGAACCGACATTGGCCTCTTCCCCAGCCCAAAACCAGGTATCAATACCAGCCTTATCTTTACATATGGACCTGGACTCAGCATTAGCCTCAGACACAGAAGACATCCCAGATACTCTAGTGGCCTCATCTTCAGCTTTGGGACTGAAATCTGCCAGGGCTCTTTCCTTTATCTCAGTAACAATCCTGTTCTTAGACCTTGCCTTCGTCACTGCCGCTGCATCAGCTTGAGACCCTGCCTTGGCTATTGCTTTGTCCTGGGTCTTGGCTATAGGTCTGACTATGGCAGTAGACTCCCTCTTTGCTTCAGCTTGTATACCAGCCCTTTTTTGAGTTTTGGCTTTGTTTTTACTCTCATTCTTAGCCCCAGTCATGGTTGAAGACCAGTTATATAGGTAGCCCTATACAATCTTGGCCTTGGTTCTCAATGTGTCCCAGGTCAATGTCTTAACACTCTTTCACTGGGTCAGACATAAACTTTGTAGCAAGAGTTAGTCATCAGCTCATCAGTCACACAGTCCCCTTTCCAAACACACAGCCTCTGTCAATGATACAGAGAGAAGACAGAGGCAATCAGCCTGAGTGAAGATGATGGTTCCTGAGTTCAGACCTGTTGAAGGTGATGATCTGCCACTCCAAGGCCACTATAGCCACCACTGGAGATGGACCTGAGGTGGAAGAAGAAAATGAGCTTTAAGTCTCTTCCAGCTGTGCTTCTCCATGCAGACAGCCACACAAGACATGAGAATAGAGATGGATTGTGTGGTAGAAGTGGAATACTAGAAAACTCTGTTACCTCATTTTATCCCTTCCACGCTCCCACTAATGCCCAACAATGTACTGCCCAGGTACTAACACACTCTTTTCTCTGTATCACATAGGAGCAGGGATAATGGAAAAGCTTGCTGAAAGTGAGAAAGGCTAAGAAACATCCAGGTGTATCAAGATTGGCCTCACACCAACCTATACTCACCTAGTGCAATTTTCTTCCCCTTCCTTACTTTCAGGAATGATAAGTCCCTACAGCCAATATACAGGCAGACCTATGGACAAAATACAGGAGGTTTGGAATTTTGAGTATTTGGTAGACAACAGGTGCTCTGAATTCTAAACTCAATACATGCCTTTCCAAATCTAGAACTTTGGTTATATAATGTTGCTGGCCTCCTTGGTCCTCATGGCTTCTCACTCCATTTCCTGGGTATCTATCAATTACCCTCTAGGCACAATCCTGGCTTAACTTATCCCCATTTCCTATACACAAATGTGAGGATAGAAGTGTCTGGAAAGTTGGAAGACAATGGCTCCAAAATATGATCTGGTCTCACCTACTTGCCAGTAGCCCATTTCCATCCCCAATCAATAGGGGTGCTCATGCTCACACTCACCTTGGATCCAAATGAATAGTTTTCGTCCTCTTGCTTAATTCAAAGTGAACAACTATCTACAGATTTCTATAGGAACCTATAAAGAAACAAACTTAAGAATAAATAAAAAGGCAAAAGAGAGAAAACAGAAGAGACTGACTTAGCCCAACACCCATCACAAGTGTTATAACACATACTTTTGTTTATTTGAAGCCATGTTAAATGTCTCCCACCTGTCTGCTCCTACCAGATGATTTTGCATCCATTCCCCCAAGACCTGCAGCTTGTCTAATTATACTTCCTCCTAATTTTTAATTCTGTCATTTTCCCAGCAGAGGCCACACCTCTTTCCCTGAACAAAATATGAGACGGGAGAGTGGACAGTGGAATGTAGGCAACTGTATTTAGAAAGCACTCAGTAAAGATAATAGTGACTATTATTTCAATACCATTTTTGCATGCCCCTACCGTTTCCCCATGCATACACAGACACTACCTCATTGCCACCGATGCCAGCCAGCCTACACAGCAGGGGTCCTCAGGAACTTCTATCCTTCCCACCAAAGAACAGTTTTTAGCTGGATAAGAGTCACGTCCTGCAAAAAGGAGGAGGAGCATTCAGCAAAGCACCAAGAGAATATACTGACAATGGCAGCAAAATACCAGGTGAATAGACAGTTTCCCAGAATTCAGGTCCTAACACCACCTTTTGAAGAATCAGGAAGTAAGTACAAACGTCATAGGGTTTAAATTGACCCTTCGGAAAACATTCCCCTCTATTCTGACCCACCATTCCCACACCTCAACATATTAAAGTGGGCTGCGATGTTGAGAAAAAGGATCCTGAAGGAGAAAGGTGGATTAATGCCACACTATTTCTTCACACAGACCCTTCCTGTGAAAGGTGATCTACTCCTCACTCTGTCATTTCTTTGCATTTATTTGGGTGCAAAATATAAATGTGGAAGGCAATATTATGAGGTGGATAAACACTTCATTTTGATGTCTTCATAATCTACCCACTCAACTGCCCTTTTGCTAAATGCGCCAGATCTACCACACAGAAAGACTTTGGCATCAACCAGGCACCTGTGGGAAA